TTTATATCCTTCAATAAATGTTACTGGGCTAACCAAATCAAGGAGGATGGAATGAAAAAGGTATGTAACATGCATAGAATTAGTGAGAAAGATATTCATATTTATGGTCCAAAACCTGAAGGGAAGAGACTGCAAAACACAAGTTTTCTCGTTGTTACCAAGCACATAAGAGCTCCAAGCCCCATATAGTCTCCACTTCCCGAAAGCATAAAGGAAGCTGGATCCATGATTCATCTCAATCTGTCACCCCTAACTTCTGACAATAAAATACATCTGTATAAAGACTACTATTATTCAGACCACATATCAACCAACTTTACTAAGAGTTAAATTACTCGAATCTCCTGATAATTTCCGATTTCATTTTCTAGATTGTGGTTATGTTTCCAGTATCCTTTCCTTTGAAATAAATGTTTGATCTTTCCTACTCAAATACATTTAAAATTATACATTTTATTTATGTATTTGTATGTGCAGTGTGGTGCCGTACAATCCCAAGTATGAGGGAATTGTAACAAAACTACAGGAAGCAGTGGACTACGGTACAAGTGGTGAACAGTGCAACACACGCTACACTTGTTCCAGCAACTCGTAGCATCCAAATCAATGGAACTGGCAAGACGATGCCAATACCAATTCACTGAGACATGTTAATGACATTACAGTTAATAAACCAAACAAGCCATATTTCTTATTTTATTAATTAGAAACTTCACAAGTAAAACAAAATGTGATTTGTTTACAGTTGCTTTCAAGTAAATCCCTTAATTCTGAGTCATGAATATGAAGGCTAAAATAAATAAACTGATATGCAATGTACTGGCTCTAAAATTTAATTTGTACTCATTATTTTTATTTGTCATATGATGTGATTGTCTGTTGGAAAGGTTATGTTCATTTTGTTGTCTATTTGCAAATATTTAAAAAACTACTTACAAATGTATTAAATTTTGTATGGTGCACTGAAACTAAATTTAAACAGCCATAAATAGAAGTCTCTTTGCAAGCTAACAAAGATAAATATGTTATCCTTAATCTTTTGATAAATAAACGTAAAAAGCAGAGACAAATATAACCAACTACATATTACTGTCAATAAATCAGAATAAAATGAACTATTGTATTCTATCTGACAAGGAAACTGTGAATAAAGTGAAAACACTAGAATTCTGGACTTAATGTGTTTTGCTGAATTCAAAGGGAATGAGATCTGTGTTCTCTTTTCATCTTCATTTTCAACATAATCTCGTTTATTGCACTTTCCATCTTCCTTTTCAGCTTTATGAGCTGTTTATGTTTCCATTTTAGTAAGTATTCACAAGATCTAAGGATGTTTTAGACAAAATTAATAGCTCTTAATATGATGGAAGCTTATGAGACATTTCTCAAAAAACCTTACACTGTACTAGCGTATAACACTGTTTCCAAATTTAGAAAATATTTATCCTACTGATCTTCTTAAATTTATACTTTTAAAATCAATTCAGATATTTCATTTGACTGAACTTCTTGAAGAGAGTTCATGTACAAAAACTGCTTGTACCTTATCCTGCTTTAGCCAGTGAAGGATGCTTCTTTACAGGGAAACAATAAACAGTGAAGTCAACTTTATTTTCCTCACCAACAAGTTGTGCTAATTATAAACAATGTTTTTAACTAGTTAACACATTTTATATCATAGTTTCTGAATAAATTCAGACATTACTATGTTCAAGTTTTATCAATCAATTACCCCAGTTATCAACCAAATATGCGGAGAGTAATGGTGGGGAGAAAAAAAAAGTTATTTTCAGATAACACAATTAACAATTTCCAAATGTAAAATTTATGAGCATACATGGTTCCTACATCATAGAAAGAGTCCCTGATCTGTAAAGTGTCTTATTTCAGAGGAAAACATGCATAATTTATTATTGTACCCCCCCAAAGAGTTGTGAAGAAGATAAAATTATCTAATACTCTCTGCAGTGTTAATTTTCTAGTGATGTGTAGTGTAGTGAAATCGACTTTCTTGTGTTACATACCATGATGATATTTTATTTGAAGTGTACTGTACGTGGCCTGCTGATATCCCTTCCAGCAAACTACTGGTAAGTGACTCGCTCCGAGGTTCCAATTCACAAAGTTCAGCGGCCAAAAACGGAAACTTCACAAGTAAAACAAAATGTGATTTGTTTACAGTTGCTTTCAAGTAAATCCCTTAATTCTGAGTCATGAATATGAAGGCTAAAATAAATAAACTGATATGCAATGTACTGGCTCTAAAATTTAATTTGTACTCATTATTTTTATTTGTCATATGATGTGATTGTCTGTTGGAAAGGTTATGTTCATTTTGTTGTCTATTTGCAAATATTTAAAAAACTACTTACAAATGTATTAAATTTTGTATGGTGCACTGAAACTAAATTTAAACAGCCATAAATAGAAGTCTCTTTGCAAGCTAACAAAGATAAATATGTTATCCTTAATCTTTTGATAAATAAACGTAAAAAGCAGAGACAAATATAACCAACTACATATTACTGTCAATAAATCAGAATAAAATGAACTATTGTATTCTATCTGACAAGGAAACTGTGAATAAAGTGAAAACACTAGAATTCTGGACTTAATGTGTTTTGCTGAATTCAAAGGGAATGAGATCTGTGTTCTCTTTTCATCTTCATTTTCAACATAATCTCGTTTATTGCACTTTCCATCTTCCTTTTCAGCTTTATGAGCTGTTTATGTTTCCATTTTAGTAAGTATTCACAAGATCTAAGGATGTTTTAGACAAAATTAATAGCTCTTAATATGATGGAAGCTTATGAGACATTTCTCAAAAAACCTTACACTGTACTAGCGTATAACACTGTTTCCAAATTTAGAAAATATTTATCCTACTGATCTTCTTAAATTTATACTTTTAAAATCAATTCAGATATTTCATTTGACTGAACTTCTTGAAGAGAGTTCATGTACAAAAACTGCTTGTACCTTATCCTGCTTTAGCCAGTGAAGGATGCTTCTTTACAGGGAAACAATAAACAGTGAAGTCAACTTTATTTTCCTCACCAACAAGTTGTGCTAATTATAAACAATGTTTTTAACTAGTTAACACATTTTATATCATAGTTTCTGAATAAATTCAGACATTACTATGTTCAAGTTTTATCAATCAATTACCCCAGTTATCAACCAAATATGCGGAGAGTAATGGTGGGGAGAAAAAAAAAGTTATTTTCAGATAACACAATTAACAATTTCCAAATGTAAAATTTATGAGCATACATGGTTCCTACATCATAGAAAGAGTCCCTGATCTGTAAAGTGTCTTATTTCAGAGGAAAACATGCATAATTTATTATTGTACCCCCCCAAAGAGTTGTGAAGAAGATAAAATTATCTAATACTCTCTGCAGTGTTAATTTTCTAGTGATGTGTAGTGTAGTGAAATCGACTTTCTTGTGTTACATACCATGATGATATTTTATTTGAAGTGTACTGTACGTGGCCTGCTGATATCCCTTCCAGCAAACTACTGGTAAGTGACTCGCTCCGAGGTTCCAATTCACAAAGTTCAGCGGCCAAAAACGCCGGATCGCAGTATACACATTAAAATAATACATAAAATTTTGGAGTAGCTGCAACTTGCCGACCACAGCCTGGCACTTGTAGCTCCATGCCATCCTATTGGACCAAGTTCTTGTAGTAATACTACAAATTTGTTCTTGTAGCACTGGAGAAATTTATATAAATTTTTGAAATAGTATGTGACTGCATAGCCACCGACTGTAGGATTCAACTTTGTTTACGGAAGTTGGAGAGTGTTCTGCCACCAGAGACACAGTTCAACAGGGGGCTTGGCTGGACTGTATCAGTGCTGGTGAACACACCCAAACCTCATACTAGATGGATGCAGAATGTATGCAGGGGCTCTATTTTGCTGATTGCAGCATGAATTGCACAACTCAGGTCTGAATTAGGCCTATCATTCTGAGCAGAAGGGGTGGAAGGCAAAGGAAGAAACTGAAAGTTTATTAGTGTTTTTACAGCAATGTTAAACAAAACAGTATTCTAGCAAGAGTACACTGAGTATCCTGGGCATTAGCAGCAATACTCAGAGAAACTGGACAACAAGAGGAACCTCAGAGTATTCTAGGGCATTAGCAGCAATACTCTTAAGGTAGACTGTCACATATTCTGCATGATTCTCCATCCGCGTGAGGCATGGTAAGGTACGCAGCCATGGTTCTGTGGTACCAAATAGAATTTGTTGCTTTCCTACCATTTGGTGAGATCTCTGCTTGTCCTGTGTTGTTCCAGTACTCAGTCTAGATCTGTGGGTGTTCTGTGCTGTTCCAGTAATCAGCTGATATTTGAGCCTGACTGTTGTTTCTTGAAGATCTCCTGCAAAACAACTGGCAGCAGTCATCTGTTCCACTTTCAGTTCTTATTTTGTGTTGTAAACCCTCGTAATGTAACTGAAATACCCCAGTAAAATTATTCTGCACCAAACCCATGTATACTGCAATTTATAGTATGTTGGCTGGTACAATAATGAGACAGAGAGCACTATGAATTTCGCTGTAAACCAGAAAATACCTAACACAATTTTCAAGACTATACAAACCACAATATGATCACTGTTAATGGAGAAGTAATTCAGAATAACAAAAAATTGTATGTATTATTTTGATAACGAATTCTTCTCTACTTCCTGAGTACCCTAAGGATGAGGATGAAAATGGTTCTCAAAATATTGATATTTTCTCCATTAAACCACCTTACATGGCTGGTAGTCTGAGAAGAATTCATTATAATTAGCCGCCGTGAAAGCTTCAGATCAAACATATTATTTTAATGTTACTAATGACAGAACTGACATAAGACACCACAAAACAAGAACATTCAACTTACAATAAAACTTAGTGAAAGTTACTTCTAATGAAGGGACAGGAATAAACTCTTCTCTAAAGGCTATTGTTATTGTTCTTGTTGAGGGGGGAGGTGTCAGGAACTGCAATGACTAACAGACTCACTGCAATGGCTGGCAGTATGAGAAAATCCGAAAAAAGAAAATAATCTCTGAAATGGTAACTGCACAATCTGCACCAGCTTCCCTAACTTTCCGAACAAGAATTCTGGAACAGTTATCAGGAAAATCCAAACAATGGACAGGACTAAAGAGCATGAAACCGTTTTACTCATTCTTTGCTGTAGCTGGTGTTGGTCAATAGGAACCTGTGCAAGTCAACCAAAAACATATGCAAATGGAAAATTTATCACTGTGCATGTGTGTATGTAAGGATAACAGGCATAAAACTACTTGCATTCTTAACCTTTCATTTATATACAAGGTAATGATAAGCTTCAAGCTCTGGTTACTTTATCCCTGGGAAATTAATCCCCATGTATGCTTTACTGGCAGAGGTAGCCAACTCGGAGTCTCCTAAGAATGTGAAGGCTGCACTAGGCATGTTTGTCCACAGTTGGGCTTAATATTACATATCATATATATATTTAGGGTTACTTCAATATGGAGACAACAAATAACATGTTAACCATGAAGTCCAGTTCAAATGTCCTGACATGAATACCAGTGAAAAATTATTGCCCCGTACAACAGTGAGAAATGTATGATAAACACCCTAGCGCATATATTATCTTGAACAAGAGTGAAAATATTCTTATACGCACTCTATTGCATAATTTGTGCCTGCATTCTAATCTGACCTGTACTGAAGTTTCTATTTCAATTTGTCTTTGACCACTTAAACCACAGAGACTGATAGGATGAGAGAGAAGTCTGAAATACTTTTGCAACAGAATGTCAACTCCCTACCCAACTTAATAAACTCATAATAACCAAATACGTTTTCTTATCAAGGCTCTGTTCTAATGTGCTTTTAATATGGTTTAATGTGCTTTATAAGTTCTCAAATATGTTAATTTTAAATGTACATATACTGAATAACTCACAATAGAGAATATAAATTATAATCATAAAATTGTAAATTAACTAATTCTGTCATATAAGACAACAATTATATATGCTTCGGACAAAAATAAATATCGCTGGAAAATATCTCAACGCAGATTAATTCTCGTTCCTACATTCAATTTTCAAAGGACCAGTTAAACAATATACTCACATCTGCTTCACCGTCTTTGAGATGAATGACTTCAATG